CAAAAGACCTTTGGCAGCCTTTTCCTCAGAATACCAGAGCCCGTGGCGAATCACTTTAAGGGTGACCCCCACAGGCATTAACACTCATTGTGCTTGTGTGGTTTTGTGCTGTGTGTGAGTGATGTTCTCTGTTGTGATGCAGTCATGCAGATTCCAATTATCAGACATTACCCTTCCCCACTTGTCAGCCAAGAGGCGACAAGGCACTTTTATACTGCCTAATGAATTTTTATGATCTGCCCCTTTTCTTAAATTTCTTTAAATAATGTGCCATGATGAGTGTCTGCTTGTTTATTCTCTAGCAAATCTCTGAACCCTGCTGGCAGAAAATGCTGCTCCAAAGCACATTGTTTCTCCTCCTGACATCATTGTATTTGACCCAGGAATGGCAAAGATGTGTTGCAGATTATAAACAACTTTTTTCTCTTTTTTTTTTTTTTTTTTTTTTTATTAATTCAAACTTCTGTGATAACATTGTTTTTTTATTTGTAATCTGATTTGCCAGGCCCAATTTCCAGTTTGTTATATGTACAGAAATATGTGACTTTAGATTATTTTCTTCATGTAGCTTGTACTAAATGGCTTTATATTGTATAGTTAAGTAGTGCATGTATAGTCAGTCATAAGATAAATGCACTTACAAATGCAAAATTACATTGTCACACTGAATAGGAAGCACTTATCTTGCAGTTACTGTTGCACTTGTAAAATGTTTAATTATACAGTATCTCCATATACCTGAAATGACAAACCATTTTGTCACATAATATAGAAATGGAAACCCTTTAGCCTTTACACTTTGCTCCATCTTTGCTTCTGATTGTACGCTTTTTTATACTGCTTCTGATTTTACATGAAAAGTTTGTAGTTTTAAACTATAAACTGCAAGTCTGCTTTAGAGATTTCATATTGGACTTTTTTGGGGGTTTTTTTGGTCTAGCCATCTAGTTAGTAGACATAATTTCAAGTGTAATTTAATGTAACTAGATAAATACACACACTCAAGCGTTACTTTGTTAGGTACACTAACACAAAGTACGCATACATGTTTAAATGGTTCATTTGATGTTTGACCAACTAGGAAATATGCATAATGTAAGTGACTTATCATAATTGTGCCAGTTGTGATAGTTGCAGCATTTGATAAATCTCCAACCTGAAATTATCATGAGTCTGAGTATGTCCAAGGACCAGTTTGTTTTGCTACAGGTGGCGATTGTTGGATATGGATCTGCGCGCATCCAGGTTCAACCACAAACTGGAGAGATTTCATTAGGTCCTGGGACCCTCAAGCCTATCCACTGGATGCTCTGGTGACTCCATATCATCAGTTCACTTTGATGCCTTTCCAAGCAGTAGATATAGGCAAGAAATGTAAAAAAAAAACACTTGAAATCATTTTAAACTTACCTAGTTATCGCTGCTCGCTCCCGCGCCGAGAACACTAAGTTATGACCCATTAGTTTGAATTGCTTACTTTTGAGATACTTTATATGTGGAGAAGTAACTTGTTAAATTCTATGGAGTATTAGAAGGTTCTACTATTTGTTTTTAGTGTTTAAATGTTAATCTTACAAACCTGCACTGTTAAACTTTCCCAGAATAGTACACAATGCATTGTGAACTTCGGTGACATTTGAACTGCTAATACTTCGCTTGCTGTGAAGATGCAGTGCAGTTTATATTCTAGATGGACCTAGTTTATCACTTTAATTGACTAACTGGGTTTTGTGAATTTTTAAACTTGGCTTTGCAACCAAACTTAATGATAGGATCCCATTTATCATTCTGGATGCCTAGAAGCTTACAAAGTCCCATACTTGCCTGTGGCTATTCACGGTATGTTAATTGGAGCTTTGCTAATAATCCATCTTCTGCATTGCAAAGGGAAAGGACAGTGCAAAGAAGTCTTCTTGCTTCACACAAACAGTGTTCTCCCTGGTAAAAGGGTTCTGCTAGGTTCAAACAATATAGATGGTTACCTGAGCCCAAGGACTATGGCTTTCATGGTACTGGGCAGACTGGAAAAAATATATTTTTGTCTGCTCTTGAATTAAACAGATGAAGCATCTGCAAAGTGAGTTAAATATTACAAGCTGCCATTATGTAGCACTCTGAATGCTATTCTTGCTATATAGTGTGACTTGACTTTGTTTCTGCAGGATGCAGTTCTGTACTTGATGCTCACAGATTTCACATATTAGCAATATCTTAAAACTGTTCCCTTGTCACCGTTGCTTAAAATACACCTGCCTTGACAGAAACATGGGGGCTGCCATTGCCTGTAAATGCTAATTTCTTGGCTTTAAAACATCCCATCATGCAGCGAAAATGCCAGAAATCATATATATATTTGTTCAAGTCAGATTGAAGCCACATCATCAACATGACAGCCAGGCAACTAGCATTATTAGGAAGAGAGGGCAGCATGCATATTACTTTTATGCCAGGTTTCCTTTTGAAAAATCCAATTACTGACCATAAACTAGTGTTTTTCAAGCACTATGTGAATAAAACAGTATCCCCAGTCCCATCTTTTGCAGACTCCATTTATGACTGGCAAAATAAAACATAAGCACAATAGGAATCACATGACAATAAACCGAAGGCCCACATAACACATTTTAGCGTCATAAACTCAACCTGTTGAAAGAAATTGTGTTGCAGTTTTTTTCTGAATTTGTTTTGAAGCCTGGTGTTGCTTTTAAAAATTATCAGTTATTCTTTTATGTGAGTATAAGGTAAGGCTGTAAAATGACTATATAATGACTGCATGACTGAATTACCTATAATAGAGACCGCATGGTTTCTTTAGCAGCCTTTTTGGCACAAGCTTCCTCCTCATATGCCTTTACTAATTAATGTTTGGCAGGTGGAGTGCAGACTTTACCTGTGTTTTCCGATTTTTATAAGACGAGGTCTCAAAGTGATTCCTTACTAGGAATGTAGATTGAGAGCATATATTCTGGCTAAGAATACCCACTAGTTCTGTTTGAGCCTATTGGGTGCCATCAGCTTAGGGCTAGTGGCCAGGGAAGAGTCTACACTGGAGAGTTAATATCCTTTGAGAGGCCATTAGGCAGTGCTTAATAAGAAATGCCAGCAAGTCTGACTCTCCAAAAGGAGAAAACACTTATTTTTAAATGCTGTTTTTAAATCGTCTTCTAGGACAGCACATGAGGCCCCTCCTCGAACAGTAATTGCATCACTAAAAGCCTTAAAAGAAGGTCGTCCTGCCAAACAAAGCATCAATTGGAACCTGGTGGAAGGAGGCTCGGCTCAGGATTCTCAGTCTTTGACCCACCCCTCTTTGCCTCACCCTCCTCGATGATGGGACTCTCATCCATTTATGCCCCCCAGTTCCTTCCTCCTTACAGATGGGAAGAAGTCTGAGCCCACTCCATTTTTAGTGCCCTGGGAAGGACATAATTCCTTGGAAGCTACTTACCCGCTAGGTGGACCTGCCTGAGCTGGTAATGTTGTTGCTTGGGAGTTTCAGCTGCTACTTCCAATTCTGTAAGGATGGGGGTCTACTTGTGCCTGTTCCAGTCAAACCTCTTGGTGAATGTGGTGTGAAGGTCAAAAGACCATTTTGGGAGATTTCCTCTACTGTACCCCCTATTATGTTATCTTGCCCCTTAAAACTCACTTTCTATTCAACAAGGCTCCAAAATAATGTCCAAGTGTTACAATGAACCTTATGTTCTTCATAACATGAACGGGTAGATGCTCTCCATTTGCTGGTGATGCGGCACAGCGTTGGGACCTTGTCTCACATCTTCTGGTTCTGTCTCAAATTATGCCCCTTCTGGTACTCCTCAATCTCTTCCTTCCTAGTAACTAGTTTCCATTGGCTAAAACAAAAACCCTGAAGCCTGATAACGCCTCAAAAATGTACAAAATATTTACAGAAACATGCCAAAAAAGCTTTAAAATCGCCTGATCACAATCAATTGTGAAAGGGGCTTCCTCTGGATTTTTATCGGACGTTAATTGATGACGTTAGGTGGCCATTTTTGTTTGCAAATGCAAACAAGTGGCATTATATTCTTTTTATATATATTCTAACAAACTTTTTCTAATTGCACAGCCATATTGCATCTATGAAAACTTACTGTTCACAGTGTAGATTAGAATAACATATGTAGCATTACAAAACAAAATAATAAAGTGCTATACACAAATTTGAATATGCAATGCTTTAAGACTGCACTTTACTTTTCCATTTGAAGACAAAGTTGGAGTATAGATTAAACCCTCCGCACGGTGCTTATGAGACCAGCTGTATCTGGAGGTGATGTGTAGTGCCAGCTTGTTTTTTCTGTATCCTTAGGGGAAAAATAGAATGTCTTCATCTTAAAGTGACACTAAACTCAGGAGTTAAATCTTAAATACATTCAAGTACCCCAACTATTAACAATAAAAGTAGCTTATTTATGCATCACTCAGGTGCAGATCCTCTAATCATCTCTGAATTGGTGCTGACAATGTCCTTCCTTCTGGTCGGTGGCTCATTTTGTTCCCCCCTGTGTGTTTTGTAAAGTAGCCACTGCTCCGAGCTCGCTCCTGTGATGCACTATAATTTCAATATAAATTCGTAAACTAAACAGGAGGTTGTAGTCAATCACGGGAGTGAGCTTGGAGCGTTGGCTAATATAAAAGTAGCCAACCAGAGGGACCATGGTGGAACAAAAGTAGCCACCCTCCAGAAGGAAGGACAGTGTCCGCACCAATTCAGAGATGATTTGAGGATCTACAGCCGAGTGATACACAAATAATATACATTTTTGTTAATAGTTGGGGTACTTGAACGGATTTCTAAGATATCATTCCTGAGTTTAATGTCACTTTAAATACACTAAACTGTATTTATGGTGGTGATGAGCTGAAATAGTTTTTACTCTACATGCAAGTAAGATGGTTTCATAAATAAATCCAAATTAATTTCATTATTTGGGCTTAATTTTTTTTTTCTGTTTTTTTTTTTTTTTTTTTTCCAGTTGAAACTTTCATTCACTCTGAATCAGGAAAGTGGAATGCCTCAAGGATGCTACATTTACCATTACAGAGACAGTAACAAGTAAGTTACATGGTTTTGAGCTTTAAAGGAGAGCTTCATTAAATGTAACTGAAAAGGACAGCTAGGGGTAAGTGTAATGTGTTAATCTTAACTCCGTGCTGCTAATTCCAAGTTAAGTCTGATGAGTAAGTTATCCATTGGCTCAGCGCTTGTGGTCAGTGCACTTTTCTTTTTCTTCTCCCTACTTTTTAACGACTGACATTAGTTGCTGCAGTAGATGTCCATGGGCCTCCATTCGCAGGGACTACATCTATTAATAAAAAGTAGAGACCGGAAGTAGTGCATGGATCGTAACCATTGATCTTAGAGTACCACTGCGCTCTGGGCATGCTTTTCAGAAACTAGAACTCAAAAAGAACAACACGGAGGGAAGTGTCATTAACACATTACATGTATTTCCCACTGTTCTTTCCAGTTGTTTTTCCTTTTTAATGAGTCTGAAAATGTTTTTGTGCTCACAATTACATGAAAATAAGGAAGAGACTAAAAAGCTATATAGTTCTATAGTTTAAATAGCATCTTGGATACTTGTATATAATTACATATGTATTAGTTCAAATCTTTACCTACTGACCTACAGATTTTTAGACCCCAATCTTGTATTCACAAATAATTCGCTCACCAGCCTTCCTACAAGCTAGCTAGAGGTGGTACCCATTTGTTCAAAGAATAGTTGCGCAAATAACTTCACAGGTTTGGGGCCTTCTCATGAATAGGTCCCTTTATTCCCTTTATCAAGACTTTTCCTGCATGGCTTGGCTACATGACTAAATATACATTTTTTTTTTAATATATATATACGCTTACCTAGGAAAAATATATGCAAGTAGAAACCAACAACATTTTATAGTCAAAACTTTTTCCTGATAGTTGGGAAAGCTTTGGACCCCTGTCATGTTTTAATTGCTCCGTTTGGGCTTGAGTATTTAAACAGCATATTAAAGATGTCTTGCTAAGCAATACCCAGGTAGGCGTGCCCTCCATTTAAGGCTATAAAACATCAAACACGGGCGGTATGGGTACTTTCACTTCAGATAAGCAGTATCTAGCTCAATGGTTAGCCACAGTACTGGAACCCAGAGATTGAATGATTTGGAGGTAAGTATTCCACAACACAGGGCTGCTTTGGATGATGAGGGGGTGACCTTTTGGCAGCAGGTGCAAAAACGCATACCTGCACCTATAATTTCAATTCTGGCTGGTTACAATTCAGCAGTAAGTTAGCAGGGATTCTTCTACAAAAAAACAAACATTTTCATAATGGATTAACTTTCTTGGTGCCGTAATAATCATTGGTAATTCAATTATATTCCCTACCAGTTTGTTCCCTGCCAGGGGTATATCAGTAAAATGTTTCACTTATTTTTTGTTTACAATTTTTCATTTTTAACATGTTTTTATTGGTGTAGGTGATGGTTAAATGCAATCTGGAGCAACAGAGCAGATCTCTGTATAGCCTTTATCATATCTTGTATGATGTCAAATATGGCATTGCAGCTAGTGATACAAGCAGTCAACCTGCATTAATGGGTTTGTCAAAAGATCTTCGCGCCTAAGTTTCTGCTAAATCTACTCTGCTGCTCTGCTATTCTAAAAATATCCGGGCCATCTGAACAAACCTACCAAGCTTTTTCGTGTATAAATGGCCTTTCCCCTTATGTCTAGCAAGTAAAAACCTTTTAACATTTTCCCTTGTTTTCCCCCGTGCACATAATGTGATTCCTAATAAATTGACAAAGTAACACCTCCGTGAAAACTGCTGACATAATTACTTGCTTTTGATTTCTGGTGGACTACTTTCCGTGGGCCAAAAGTTCATTATTCTTTTATTCATTTTGGTTTAATTGAATCCCTGGACCATACCGTACAATGGGCTTATTTTTTTCTATTCAGTGAATCTGCCAATCCACTTTCCATCTGGAAAACCTTCAGATTCCACGCCTGATCCAAACTTTCCTCCTCCAGCTTCAAACAAGATACTGCTTCTTTGGATACACCAGCTGAAGTGAAGCAGAGAGGAGCCGAAAGAAGGTTTCTTCCAGACTCCTCACCCTTAATGGAGGACTCCTGTAAATTATCGATCTGAGCTTTCCAGCAAATTTAGATCACCAAGTCAAAAAGAACATTTTTTTTTTCCCAATTGAAGTAGATGTTACAATGTTTGTAAGCATTGTTCACTAATTTGGCTAGAAGAGAATTTAAACATTTTATGGTCATTTCTGTGAGGACCCCCTACAGAAATCATACTACATTCCCTGACCACATACAAAGTCATTTTTTATTTGTTATGTTTCTTTGATCATCTTCACTCTCCCTGAGAACTAGAGACATATTTTAAATGACAGGAAAACAAATTGCATCTATATATGTATTGTATGCAATATATATTTCATAGAGTAACTTCACTCACTAATCTTTAGTAAATCAAGCCTGTTGCTGTTCTTGGCGCCATCTGGTGACGAGAGAACGCAAGTTGAATCTTCCCAACAACTCTGTATTCTGCAAGTAAAATTGACAGCTATTGTAATCCTTCCACTAAGGTTTTAGCACCAGTTCCTTTATAAATATTTAACAATTGGGTGTCCGTTTGTGAGCTAGTTAGTGGCCAGTAAAAGCTACTTTATTAGGGTTGTTGAATAGAGGTGAAAGGATTTGGCTAGAACTAAAGCAGAAGTCAAGATATACTATACATTGTGTGGTGGCCCTAGATTCAGGGAGCTCACCTAGTCCCACAGACTAGCTTCTTCCATTTTGATAGTCTTGTTAGTTTGATTGAATAATAGGTTTACTTTTAGGGTACATCAGTTTGCAGTAATGCTTGTGCAACAGTAATATAAGTAATGTACTAACATGCACAATTTTTGGTCCATTATGGTGCATTGATAAATTTTGTTTTGAACTGATCTTTTAGACATATTCAGTTTAGCTACAGTTCATTGCTTGAACAGTTATTCAGCACTTGAAAGAGCAAATTAGCCTTAAACTGCTTCAGATCCTTTTACATTGTTACAAACAGCTGGAAAATTCTAGCAGCATTTTTAGCAGTAGCAACATAAAGCCTTAACCATATTAATTCAGTAATCTTCCATTTCACAAGGAAAGATACAGTATAGTGAATTTGCGGTACAGCAAGGTAGTGCACAGAGAAGAAATTATGTTTTGTTATATGTTCTATAATGTTGCAACTGTTTGCTTCAATTCCTTCCTCTTTTTTGCTTAGTGTGAGCTGTACAGCATTCTGGGGTGTTCAGGGTGCCATGCAGTGGCTTTAGACTAGGGAAGGAGTATCTCTGGTAGAGGCAGTGTAGATGCAGTCTCTCCACAGCTCAGCGCTCCTTCTCAGCTGCACCCCCTGCTGGTATTTAATGAACAGGCTGTGGCTGCAGGGTGCTGGCATAGTAGTTGATTTGGGTGCAAGAGAATGAATAAGGAACACAGCATTTTAACATTGAGCACTGGTGAAATTAGGCCAGGTGCAGAGCAAGTTGAGGGCTGCAGAGAGTCAGAGCACTTCTTACATTTCTGTAAATGTCTAGAGGTGGCTTTAAACTTCTAAGTCCATCAGTGAATACTGTAGCTCTGGTAATTGCTCAATGTCTGCTTTTCCTTAATATGTTCAGCTTGTTAAGTGCACTTTTGTTACAGGGTCACTTTAAAGGTACAGCAAGACGCAATAACTTCAGGCTTACTTAATGTAGTAAACTTTCAAAACTTTTTTTCAAAAATGAATCCAGATCAAACAAATATAAACTTTGCCCAGCAAAGCATTGCTTTACATTTTTGCCCAAACACTCACAATCAGTATGTTTCTGCACAGATGCTTCTAAGTTTCTCAACTCAGCTTCCCATCCAGTACAAGATCACAAAGGACAGTGCCAAACTGCAGCAACTGTTCATCTGCTACCTTGGAGGAGGTAGGAGAGGGGGGCAGGGAGGAGAAAGTAGCTTGATTTGCTGTTTGCGGAGACACACGCTGCTTACTAGCACACACAAGGGTGACTGCATAGCACTCTGCTTGAGAAAGGAGTCATTTAGAAACCGGAAGTCAGGACCAGTGCTCCGGGTACCAGCTGATTCTGCAGGAAACTAAAACTTTTAAACATCAAGGTGCAGCATCCATTATAAATGATTTCATCAGCATTTGAAATGGCTTAAAATCTTTTCTGACTTTAATATCACTTTAAGTTAATTGATGTCCCCAGTGTAAATCTCCATAAAATAACACACCAACACTAACATTTGGTATTAATTGTCCCATCCACGTACATCTTTCCTCTGCTAGTTTTAACATGATTAAGCAGCTGTATTGTATTTAGCGAGATGATGCTAGTATAGTCTAGGGGGGCCCCAAGCAAGACCTTAGTCTTGCGATGGTTGTAAAGGGATTAAAAAAACGTACGATCTGCCCATCTTGGACGGGCAGATCGCACTCTCGATCATCGCAAGCCACACCCCCTGAGGGCCGGTTTGCGATGACTGTAATGAGGGGCGGGCTTACGCTGACTGCAAACGGGCAGTGTGCGCGTGCGCACACCGGCCCGTTCGGCAGCTGTCGAACCAGCAGGCCACCAACTCGCCGAGAATCGTACGATTCCCGGCGGGTTTTCAAACATGCTGGTTCGATGGAAGACGTGCGACCGTACAGTAGAAACGGTCGCACGCCTTCCATACACTGCACGATTCTCGTACGATCGTGGGATTTCCCGCGATTCTCGTACGAGAATCGTGCAGTGTATGGGCACCTTACGTCTGAACGGAATGAAGCAAATTTTTAAATGCTGCTACTTCTGAATGATTGTAATTTTCAAAACTATCTTTAATATTTAAAGTCCAAATATTTGTTTTATTGATGAAAATGTATCCCTATGGTTTGCATCAGCTGGTTTAACCCCTTAGTAGCACAGCTTAAGAAATGTAGTTCCTGGGAATCAGAGCAATTTTTCAATTTGTTTTCTCTGTTAAACCATAATTTCCATCTTCCTCATTCATTACACCTACAC